AGTAGTCGAACGCAGATCCACTGAGCGCTCAACACAGACAGCATCGTCAGAAGAACAGTTGATAAAATAAATAAAAAATTTTGTATTGTTCGATACATATGTGTACCGAACCGAAAGCACTGTATCGAACGGTTCAATATCGATACGAGTATTGTTGCACCCCTACATCTTACATCTTGCCTGTGGAAATATTTTTAAAAATATTTTCTTTTGAAATCATTGTAATAATAACAAGCATTGAAACTAATAAAAATTAAACTGTAACTAGACATTCTTGTTTCTAAAAATGACAAATAGTAAACATTGTAACATTGTTCGCTCATAGTCCTTTCTAAGTTTATAAAAAAACATATGTTTGTTTGTTTCAATGATTCAGGAACCCTGGAGTCTCTGTCACTCATTCTTCGTTATGCAAAAAGCCTCCCTGTTTGTCAGTTTGCACCAAATTGTAGTCTCATGAGAAAGTGACCGACCCACCGATTGTGTTTTTGCTATCAGATTCTTGTCCTGCGACACGCTATGGAGGCGGCCACGGCGGATCGGGAGCGTGAGATCACTGTCCTGCAGGCAGACCTGGTCAGTGTGCGCTCCGAGCTAGAGCACTGGAGGAACACAGCCGCCAAATACGAGGAGGAGATCGCCCGGCTGCAGGAGGCCTTCACGCAGCAGGAACAGCAGCAGACCGCTACCAGCGAGCTGCAGGGTGAGCACTGCCTGCATGTTTGTCTGAGTCTGTCTGTTCATGTCTTTGAATCACTACTAATCATAACTGTGCATCCTCTATGTCTCGCTGCCACAGCGGAGTGCACTGCATTGCACCAGCGGTGTACGTGTTTGCAGCAGGACTGTGATGGCCTGAGAGCTGAGAGGAAAACACTCACAGAAAAACTGCACCGCCTGGAGGCTGAGCTGAGCAGGTACACACACGTTGCTTTAAATTTTTTATCTGACTCCACTGTTTTATTTTATTTTATTTATTTTACTGTACTGCAGTGCTGTCAGAATTATACAAGATCACATTTAATTATTTGTCAAAAAAGATCCACACAGCTGTAAACCATTTGAATATAGCGTTACTAAATAAACACCACTTTAAAACTTATATTCTCTTAACTGGATCTCAAGCTGAGAGTCTCGAAACCTGGAACATATCAAACTTTGTTAGGTGGACCTTAAAGTCTTTTGACAGGCATGATCGAGTTGATGAATTCTGGCCCAGGACGACTCTCAGGAGCACTGCCAAGTCGACAGATCAGGTTCAGAGTTTGGATTCAGCATTAAAGGGCAGGCTGAGGGTGAGACTGATAGAAGGAAACATGGTGTCCAGCTGATTCAGGCAGAGAAAGACGAGGAGATGACAGCTGACTGACAGCTCACTGAAACTATCTGCTAGATTTGTTCTCCACTGAGAGAAAACACTGCTGCATGTCCTCACCACAACCACGTCCTCAGCAGGATTTTATCTGCGCTTCAGCTACAATTTTTTTTACTAGTCTACAATAAACTGTACACATCTTTTGACTTTCTACTAAGAGATGAATGCACTTTGGACATGGACGCTTTTTATCCGGCATATTGACAGCTGAGGTAAACAGTGGACTGACAGCCTACCCAGATAGCAAAAACCTCCAAGCTGGATCCAGTTAGGAGTCACTTTGCTGTCTGAGTACACTCACTACAGATGAAAGGTGGTCAGAGCTTTTGAGGTTATTCAAAGGATAAAAAATAGGATACTGCAAAATAGTTCCACACCCATCTGTTTTGTATTTCCTGGTTTATTACTGTTGTTGATATTATTCAAAAAAGTTCAGGTCGTATGTACAAAAAATGTTTTCTTGTAAACAAACAGTAAACAGCCATTATGGGCTAATCTAATATGAATGTTTTTGATCTCTTGACTGAATGAATCACATTATTCCTACAACAGCCACCTCACCTAGAATGATCCGGTTGATTTGGGAGGAGTAAGCAAACAATTTGAGCTGACTGAGATCTATGGACAACTAGCTTTGAAATCTTACACACTGTAACTTTAAAGTTTAAAAAGGAATTTATTTAGATTTATTTAGTTGTTATGGAAGATAAATTACCTGTAGAGTCAGAACCATGTTTTGTACCAGGCTGTAAACAGGTTTATTTCTGCTCTAAAGTTGGAAATCCCTTTTGGAACCAGCTTCAAGTGGCTGTAAGAGGAGCTGCAGTATTTGGGACTACTTTGTTGGCTTACGTTTTTATTAAGGTCTAGTGTAGTTATGTTTGTAATTGCAAGCTCGACACATATTTTAAGTATAGTTGCACTCAGAAGTAATCAAGCATTTTTTCTCCTGTGTTTTAAGGATATCAAATCCCAGGAGAAGACTGAAAACCACTTTAAAGAGATCTCACTAATGAGAGTTGTCAACATTTCCAAAGTTTGATTTTGCTGTTTGCAGATCATTTTCTGCATTTGAACTCTCTCTGACGACATTTAGGGAAACAAGTCAGAGTGTTTTTTAATGTTGTGACATTTTGTTGCAGCATTTACATAAACAAGCTAAATACAGAAATCACTGTTTACAGTACCAGTCCAAGGATTTGATCCACATGTTGGACAGAAGGTTTTCAAAACTATAAACACATGTATAAACTCCATATTCCAGTTTATGTTGCATGTAGCTCTATAAGCAGAAAATTATATTGGAGTGCTACGTCAAAAGGAATTTACCAGTGTAAATTCCAGTAAAATGTTCTATCAGATCAAAATCTTCGCTGTCAATAAAAAAAAATCCTGTCAGCACATAATTTTCCAGATCATAATGCATTTGTAAGATGGATGAGGTCAGTCAGTGCCGAGACACACTGAGGACTTGGCCAAAAACATACCCCTAGTCTATTTTTGATGGATGGAGCACCAAGCTACATAGTGCAGATAAGCAGGACAGGAAGCCAGACACAGAGAAAGCATAGAGTTTGGTCATTTTTCAGAATAAAACACTCTGTATGAACCAGGCACTCATCTGTTTACCAGCAGTGATGGTGAACACATGACTATCGAGAAGACACGACTATTTGTTAACATTAAGTCTCGGTCTACTTAATGAAAAAAAGGAAATGCAATGTTTGTGCCCTTATTTGCTAAAATTATTTTTAAAAATGTTGTACATCATGTGTGAGGTATCCCAGTTACACACAATGATTTATATATTTTATGTTTTATAGTGGTGTCTGGACAGAGTACAAAGTAATCTCTCTCAGTATTCCTACAGAGGTGCACTTTTTTACTACCATTGGATCTACATGATACTAATAAAATCATAGCTTTAATTGTGACCACAGAAGCCCCGCAAAGGGTGTTCAAATCATTTGTCTATAAGACACAGCCAATTATGGGGGGAAAAAGCTGGTCTAAATAGAGAGAAGCTAAAACAGCTCGTTTCAGACCGGGTAAATTGAGGGCCTGCACCAAGGCAAGTATAAATGACTCCAGAGTACAGTGGAAAAAAATGGAGCCTGAAATGAGCCTCATAAGTCTTCAATAAGGTCACAGCATTGCAAATCCTTGGAGAGTTTCTAACATTGTTGGGAAACGTAGTGGAGTGATTACTGAGTCAAGGTGTGATTTGGTGTGTTTGCAGCACCAGGGAGAAGAGTCTGGTCCTCAGCAGCAGTCTGGAGTCTCTGGAGAAGAGGGAGGAGGTTTTGCAGGACAAACTGGGTTCTCTGGAGAATCAGCACCTGCAGGACGCGAGCAGGCTAAAGAGCCAGCTGGACCAGGCCCAGGCCCACACACACACACTGCAGAAAGAGGTACGCACACAGAATGGGATTTAAAAAAAATAAAACACAGAAAACGCCAGGTGAGGAACAACAGAACAAATGGAAGAGATGAAAAATAAAAGTTGGAAATGGATCAATGAGTCTTTTGATAAATCCAGAGAGACTTAAGTCAGCATGAGTAAAGATGGTTGAGCAGATGCCTGAAGCAGATGTGAATAAAAAGAGGAAACCACACTGGGGTTCTCAGAGAAATAAAATAAAATGTACCAAAATCTCCACAGTGGGGGAAATGCATACAAGCAGCAGCCTGAATGAATTTTTGAGCTATTTAAAAAACCCCAAAAAGGGTTCAGCTAAAAATAACTTTTAGGTAGACAAACAGCTACACAAGCAAGCTGCAGTCAGTATCTGTTCAATGGAGCACATCAAGTGACATTAATTGACAAGTTGCTGATTTATTGCTTATGTTTGCTTTGGGTAATTGAAAGTTGTAAAAAAAAATGAGGGAAAAACATAACTCGGCATTACCAATTTGGTTGCCACCATGTTCGTATTTTTGGAGCTAGAAGGTGCAAACACTAACAGGCTGTCCATAAACTGATTCCACATATATCTGCTGGTGGGTGCGACATTACAAACTAATAATGCACTGAAATTCGAATCACCGAAATCAAAGAATTAACTTTTTCAACAGTCTGTGAGTACAGTTAACCAAACAGCAGTTTTAGTTTCAGTTATTATAATCAACTAAAACTGAAAATAAAAGTCCATTTTTTTCAAGTCAATTTATTTGTAACTACATTTAAAAACAACACAGGATGACCAAAGTGCTGTACAAAGTGAAGAAAACAAAACCAAAGTTTTTTGGGAAAAAAGTAAACTACAGAAACCAATTTTGTGAACTTAGAAAACTAACTAAAATAAAATATTAACATAGAGGATAAATTCTTAGTTTTAGTAATTGTTAGTTTGAGGTTAGCTTGACTGATCATAATAAAATAATAATTAAAAAGACTAAAACTAACAATTCAAACATTGAAAGATAGAAATTCCAGTCTGGAAACTAACTGAAAGTAGACTGACTTAAAAGCAAAAAGACAAAATGAAATATAAATACAAGCTAATTAGAAAATGCAAAATGATAATAGCTCAGCAGGTCAATAGTGTTTGTCAGATAGTTGTATAAAAAGTCCAGTGTTTGTCGACTGAGTTATTGGTAACAGCAGCTAGTGAGCTTTTGTAAATGTGGCACTTGGTGGATTCTCCATCAGTTTTAAAGGGACCTGTTATTCTTTCTGGCAGTTTTTTTTTCTATTCTTGGATCTGTATGATGTCACGAGGAGAAAGGGATATTACAAAGAGGTTAACTTTACAAAAAAAAACAGAGGTTAACTTTACCTGGAAGTGAACCCTTTATGCAAATGGACATAGAAATGACAGTGGTCATAGAAATAACAGTGGCCTATCTGTGTGTGTGTGTGTGTGTGTGTGTGTGTGTGTGTGT